AAAAAATACCATGATTGATTAATATAATGCTCTAATTTAAAACAAGACATTTGATTTGATACCCGTCCCCTTGATGTAAATATAATTCGGTCTATGTGGATTTTTAGACATAAACACAACTCTGACAGTTCTTTTGAGAAGTATAATACTTGTCTTGTAGGTGATTGTAGGTCACAAAAGAAAGGAGTAGATTGTGATGAAATATTCAGCCCGATAGTAAAATTAGCTACCATTCGAACAATTTTAACCATTGTTTTGTCCAAATCATGACGCATTCATCAGTTGGACGTCAAAAATGTATTTTTACATGGTAATCTAAATAAAACAGTTTATATGCATCAATCCATATGTTTTAAGGATTAATCTCATCCTGATTATGTTTGTTTGTTAAAGAAGTCACTTTATAGCCTAAAGCAAGCCCCTTATGATTGGTACCAACTGTTTTGCAGATTATATGGCCATAATCAGTTTCAAATGTAGTAAATCCGATCACTCTTTATTCATATATCATAAGAAGTCTGATATTGCATATATTCTGTTGTATGTTGATGATATTATTCTCATGACTTCCTCTTATTCTCTTAGAAAGTTTATTATGTCATTCTTGAGTACAGAATCCACTATAAAGGATCTTGGTGCACTAAATTAATTTTTGGGGATTGTAGTTACCCGTCATGCAATTGATATGTTTTTCTCACAGAAAAAGTATGTAGAAGAAATTCTTGAAAGAGTAGGAATGACTAATTGCAAAATTTATCCCACACCAGTTGACACAAAGCTCAAACTTAGCACTTGTAATGACATTTTCTACAAGGATCCTACTAAATATAGACATCCTGTTGGAGCATTGCAATATCTCATTGTTATAAGGTCTGTCATTTCTTATGCGGTGCAACGAGTATGTCTTTATATGGATGATCCTAAGGAAGAGTACATGCATGCTCTCAAGCATATTTTATGTTACATTTAGGATACTATTGGAAATCTCTTGTCTTACACAGGTGCAGATTGAGGTGGACGTTCAGATACTAGACAGTCTACATCTGAGTATTGTGTTTTTCTTGATGATAACTCGATTTCTTGGTCGTCTAAACGACAACTTACATTATCTCGTTTTAATACTGAGGCTGAATATAGAGGAATAACTAATGTTGTTTATGAATCTTGTTGGACTCAAAATGTTCTTCTGGAGCTTCATTGTCCAATTCATAAAGCTACATTAGTGTTCTGTAACAATGTGATTATCATTTACTTATCATGTAATCTTGTACAACATCAACGTACAAAACATATTGAGATAGACATATACTTTATACGTGAAAAAGGTATTTGTGATAAAGTTTGTGTCCTTCATGTTCCGTCCCGATATTTTCACCAAAGGTCTTCCGGGCATACTCTTTGATGATTTTTGGGACAGTCTAAGCGTTTGTCAACCTCCTGCTTAGTCGAAGGGGTGTGATATATATTATTAGGTAAAATTAGCTATTATTATTTTGAGAATATTTTGCAATGATAATTACTTAAAGATTAACCTAAATTATAATTTGTCAATTGTAATGACAACCTAAATTATAGTTTGTAAATATCCCCAATCAATAGAGAATTAAATCATTCATGATTTTCTACCATGTTCTTTTAAAAATGCTAAACATCTTGCATTCTTGATGTCTCCTTATTATCAAAATATAATCTTAATATATATATATTACATAAAGATGTTAGTCCTATAACGAAGATTTCCAGCATAATTAAATTGATATTATACCTTAATTATCCATATTTATTGTTCTCTTAGAAATGCTAAACGTAGTAGGTTAGTGAGTATTTTTCAGTTTATAAAAGCTGAAAATAATCAGTATATGAAAGTGAATAAATCTGATTGCATGTTTGAAATAGTGAGGTCATTAACTTTAGAGGGTAGCCCCTAGATGAATTTTATTAATAAAAGTTTTAAAAACACGAGAATTAATTGATCAGATGATGATTCATAAAGCCTAATAAAAAAAATGTTGTGTATTCGAAGTAGAGGTGGACATGATTCATCTTGATGTTAAAAATGCGTTAATTAATTATGCTAGATTACTCTTCTTATACATAATATTTAGTTCAAATATTATGTGTATTTGATAATAAATCAATATTATCTTGAAAACCAGGCCATGACTCAATTTCCGAATACATGGTTTAGTTAAACCAACAATTGCAAAGGGTGTCCATTTGAATTTTTAATTTACAGCATGATATTTTAAATATAGTTAAGATTGTCTTTAATTTAAAATCTTGGGAACAGATTAAGTTAATTATTAGATTTACAACATGCTATTTTAGGTTGGGTCAAAATATTAGAAATAGGGATGGCAAAACGGGTCAGGCCCGGTGGAGCGGCTCGCCAGTCTGTCATAATATGACGGGACAGATTAGTACTTTCAGCCTGTCTTGGCCCGTCCTGTTAAGTCCGCCAAACTGCCGGGACAAGCCGCGAGACAGGACGGACAAACCTGCTTTACTAATAATTTTTTTTTATTGTGATACAATACAAAGAGACAAAAAGACAATATATAATTAAACTCACATTACGGAAAACACTTTCCTTTCTCAAGTACAAACCTCTCTCTCTCCTCTCCTCTTACTCATCATCTTCTTCTTGCTCATCCTTCTTCATAAGGTAAAAATCATATATATCTCATACTTTTTTACTCTCTTTTATATTTGTTACTTTTTTAAGGTTTTATTTTTTTTTCTCTTACTATTGCATCTAATGATCCTGGACATTGATTATTTTAAATTGAAGATGTGAGAATTATTCAATAGAAAAACAATGTGAAGTCTTATAAAATAAATAAATATAATGTAATTTTCATTTAAATGTTTAAACTTCTCAATATAAAAAATAAAGATTTAATAAATTTTTACTGTTACGTACATATATTTATTAAAATAATGTATCAATTTATATTATTAACTTAATAAATATATATATATATATATATATATATATATTAAATTATTGACAATGATAATTTTATTATTAAATTTATTGAAATATTTGATTTAAAAATAATAAAATAAAAAATATAACAGTTCATCCCGTGTATCCTTTGGTAAGATAGGCGGAGACCTATAGTCTACCATGATTATTGCGGGCTAACTAACTAGTCCTACTCTCTTTTAAGAGGTCAAAGACTGGGTGGGACAAAATAGCACGGAATGAAACGTTTTTGCCATTCCTAATGAGGAATTATTCCACAAGGCAGAGTAGGCATGCAATTTAATTGATTGGCTGTCTTTAAATTAAATTCTCAAAACTGAATGGAGTATATAGGTATAGCACTGAGTCAGACGCTTGAGTATATATATATATATATATATATATATATATATATATATATATATATATATATATATATATATATATATATATATATATATATATATATATATATATATATATATATATGAGTGGTTGTAAACATACATAAACCAACAAGATATCGTCTCTAATATAATTCCCCCAGAACAATATAGGCAATCATGACAAGCATTTTCTTTTCCCATGGGTTTCCTACATTCATGTCGACCATCCTCTTTTGATGAACCCATGATGCAATTTCTGTTATGAACAATCATGACAAATATATGTGGGTGCAAAGTTACTCATGTGATGAACCTCAGATGCAAACCAGCGTGCTCTGCACACCCTTGTTAGCCACGCGAGAGAACCTCTTAGGTAACTTTTATACCAACGTGCCGCCCATACACATGAGGGCTTAGCCACACTCCTGCAAGAGAACCTCTGATGCAAGTTTTATATCGGCATGTCTCCCAGACCACACTCGTGTGCTCAGCCATACCACTGTGAGAAAACCTTCGATGTAATTTCCATACCGATATGGCAACATGCAAATCACATCCATGTGAGAGAAGTCACACCCTGTAGGAGAAATTATATCCCTGTGGAAGAACCTCTACTATAATTTTTATACCAACTTGTCTCTCAAAACCGCATGGACACAACCACATCCCTTTGGATTAACCTTTGATATAGTTTATCATCCAGTGTATTCCATCCTATGTGGTATAACCACATCCTGCAGACAAATATTTGATACACTTTTTATACCAGCATGCAGTAGCCACAACCCTGTGGCATGGGTCAGACTTATAATTAGGAATTGTTAACTTTATTTTCAATTGAACTTGAACCTATAATTGTATAAGGTTACATAATAGACTGGGTGAAAGGGAGATAGACTTACTTTTGAAATGGAATAGAGGGAATTAAGGTCATACCAAAATAAAGTGAGATTCTAACTATTTTTAACAAGATTAAATATTAATATATAATTTTTTTTTAAATAAAGTGATCCAATGTCTGATGAATGTGATTATACCTGAACCCAAAAACACAGTTGTTCATGTCATACACAACATTTCTTCAAGGTTTTTATATAAGTTGTTTATATGAATTAAATAATAAAGATGGCCCGGCGTGATATATAATTTCTTCAATGGATTCATCATTTAATCTTGGAATTAGTTTAAGAATTCCTACTGAAAGAAAAACTCTCGTAGGCAGGATGTAAAAGGTTTTAAAAGAGAAGAAATTTATTACAAAGAACAAGATATTTGATGGCTCAAGCAAAAAGCTCAAGCGATAGAGGACACATCGAAAGTTAGATATGTTCTCACCCAATATGACAGGTAATGTTGGCATTGTTATATTGAGATGAATGTATGGCAATGTAAAAAAGGATAAGAAATGGAAGGATTGCGGAGATAAATGTAAGAAGGTTACCTTTTGTGTTACAGGATTGGTGCCCTTCATGAGCCCAGATGTTGATCACATTAACACGGTAATCTAATGGAGAATTCAGCATCTAGATGCCATAAATCTCACATCTCCAGCAAGTATACATCCCAAATTCCTTTATCAAAATCCGACTAGTTAATGATCCAGATGTAACCAAGTTTACAAAACGTCAAAGCACATCATAAATTTGTTATTTAGTCACTTTGATTGCCAAATGGTTTTCCTTGTATATTCTTGACGACAAATCAGAAACAAGAGCGTAATTACTGCTTTCGTAGCATGCAGTCATAAATGCTGCTACTGTTACACGATTGACATGAGGATCCAAGTCTAGTAACTTATGAAAGAACAAGGCTGCCATTCCCACTTTCTGTTCGCTACTTAGCTTCCTTACCAGAGTGTTAACTGTCTGGATCCAGTGTTTCTTTTCCAGCCTTTCAAGAACAATCATAGCAGAGCAACTGTCACCTATCTTGCAATATTCATGAGCCAACGTTACTCGAGTAACTTCACATGGAGTAAGTCCCTTCTCTATCATGGCATCATACAATCCAAGAGCCTCATCCAACTTTGACTGTTTGTACAACCCACTTATAAGAGCACCATATGTAATAGAATCTGGAACACAACCATGGCCACTCATCCTATGGAAAAACTTAAAAGCCAAACTTAAATTGCCTTCTCTACAATAACCACATATCATTGACGTATAAGTGTGGTTTGTAGGAACAAGTCCAAATCTCAAAGCTTCCTCAAAAAACTTCTCACTTTCTTTCATTCTTTTTTCCCTACAAAACACTGCAATCAATGTAGTGTATGAATGCATGTCAGGTTGAATACCACTCTTGACCATTTTATTGAACAACACCAACGCTTGCTTAATCTCCACCCGTTTGCAATGTTCAGATATGAGAATAGTATAAGTGACTTTATCAGCTTCCAACCCATTACGAAACCCGCTCTTAAGCACATTGTAAGCCTCTTGCACCCTTCCCTTTTTACAAAGTCCGTCAACAACGGCATTGTACGTACACACATTGGGACTAAAACCTTCTTCATTCATCACATTCATTAAGTCATACGCCCTTTCAATATTCCCCGCTTTGCAGTGCCCATCGACAAGAGTCGTATACGTGTTTGTGTTCGGTGCCAATCCCTGCTCCTTCATCCGGCTCAGCAGCATCTCAGCCCGATTCATTTTCCCATCCCTGCAATACCCACTAATCATGGCAGTATAAGTAAACACATTTGGCTTGTGATTCTCGCTTCGAACAAGCTTGAGAAACAATCTAAACGCCTTCTCAGTCCACCCTTTCTTGCACAGACCATTAATCAAAGCCGTATGCGTGTACACATTCGGCTTCCAACCTTTCCCAACCATCTCCTCCAACATCTCAAACGCCTGTCTCACGCTACCCCTTTTGCACAACCCGTCGATCATACAGGTAAAATTAATCAAATTAGGCCTCAAACCCATCTCACTCAACCTACGAAAATACCACAATGCCCTGGTCACAAAACCCTTCTCACAGAACTCCCTCACTACCAAAGTAAACGTCCCACTTTCAACTACAAACCCTCTCTCAATCATGGCACTCAACCACTTATCCACCTCCAAAATATTACCCATTCTACAGCAACCAACAACCATGACCCTGTAACTAACACAATTCGGTTGCACCCCTCTCGCGCACATTTCATCAAACACGTTCTCTGCATACGCAACCAAACCCATTTCTACCACAATCCTAACTACCCAGTTCAGCGTTTTCGTACTGGGAACCAACCCCTGGTTGTGCATTTCAATGACCATTTCCACGGCCTCTTTAAGCCTTCCAATTTCGGCGAAACTCTTCACCATACATTGCAACACGTCATGGGCCATCTCGAAATTTCTGTTTCCGATGAAAGACTCGGCGCAAGCGATGTAGAGGCGTGTGAAATGGCGGAACTTGGAGGAGGCAATGACCCACCTGAAGAAACTGTGGGCCACCACTGAACCGGCGTCGGAGGCGAGCGAAGCGACGACGGTGACAACTTGATCCTGGGTAAGGGAATTGGGGTCCACGTGGAGGTGTAGAAGGGAGAATCTCGAGTTGGTGCGGTGGTCTTCGTAAGAATCGCATACAAGTGAGCACACTTGTTTTACAGTGGACTGCACACATGATGATGATGTGTGGGTCAGTGATTTTGTGTGAAAGATGAAGGGTGAGGTGAGTGTGTGAGGAGAGACACGAGTTCTTCTGAGAATCACAAGGGAAAACATGGAAGGATTGTTACTGCAACTCTGAGAGTTCTAAGTTCAACTTTCAATTCATGACTTATTCTTTAATTTTGTACCATGCTAATGAAAATATGTCAGTAATTTAGACTCTATTTTAATAAAACATCCTTTTTTTTTATCTAAACAATAACACATGTTTAATACACATTTCTTCACGTAGATTTGGAGACATAAACAACAAACAGTGCAAGAGTTGAGAGAATGTTTAAGGTTTAAGAAGAGGTCCAGTAATCTTTGTTAAATTCCAACGTATTATAAGTGCACTACAAAAGGTGTATAAATAATAAATAAAAGTTAAATTTTATTTTAACTCAATACCTTCCACAATGTTTGCTTGTAACACCATTTCATCAGAAATTATAAATTTTTACATTAATATCGCAGAGAAATTAAACTCTTAAACTATTATAACATATTTTATATTAACGATATAATACTTTAAAATATTTAATTATCAGAAAAATAATTTTTTAAAATGCATTTTTATGTATACAAATTGTTTATTTTTAATATTTTAATAACTTTGTAAAAAGTTATATCTAGTAAAAATTTGTATTTTTTGTTTATTTATAAGTAACTGTGCAGTCTTCTCATTTCTTCCCTGTCTCCATTATCAGACAATTTCTGAGTCATTCTATGTTCCAATGTCTTCTACAAAGGTGGGTTTGCTTCAATTTCTATACAGTGTTCTTTATTTAACTGATTCACACTAAAAGTTATTTTTGTTCTTCCTTTGTATTACTATCTGGTATTGCGTATCCTTGCTCTCAGGAGGAAAACCCAGGTTCTTTTGGATCAAAAAGATTTCGCAACGATGGTAAAAATATAATCTCGGTGATGTCTCACACTGCAACTAGTTTCTTTCTTGTGTGTTGATGTCTTTTTTCATCTGGGTTGCGATAATGTTCTGGCTTTGGTGTTATGTGAAGAACAATTTTGCGTTACCCTTTTGTCTTGTTATGTAAAGAAGAATTTGCATTACCCTTTTGTATTCTGGACCATCTGGGTTTAAATCTATGCAGGGAAATGTGTTTTTGATTGGGCTTTCAATATGATTAAGCGTGTTAGTGTATTTAGAATTGTTTGTGGTAATGATCATCAGTGTATTTAGAGCTGTTTGTTGTTATAAGGTGATACTTGAAGGTGGAGTGTATAAGTTGAATTTAGCTATGAAAAGTTTAAATCATTTTACCTCTTTGTCTTCTTCCTTTGCAAGTGTTTATTGAGAAGTTATGTTATTCTGTAAAGATTTACCAGACTGTCTCAGAAAATTTGTGCTTCTTATGATGTTATTCCTTTAGAGGTTGAAGGTAGACAAGGGAAACGAACCTGACCCTGTTTTATTGATTGGGAGAGAAGTTGTTTTGTATTTGAAAGTGCATTTTGTTTGCAAGGAAAAATTTCTTGACGGGAGCGGCCAAAGAGGGGGAGAAAATTTCTTCCAAAAATTGATAAAAAGTGGAGACATTTGCAGTAAGAGGGCTTGCAATTTTATTCAATGGTGATTAAAGAGTGCGATGACAATTACAATTATAAACTACTTGATTTGTTTTTTGTTTAAACCATGACATCCCTGGTCATTTTCGTTGCTCCTGGTCCTTGCTAGTTAATTTGTTGTCATGGAGTGGACGGAGACTAGGAGAGACCCTTTTTTAAGCTTATATGTAAAGCATTAAAACTGCCCCTTTTGATGATCCTTACCTGTTTATCTTAATGCAGTGATATAGTATATAAATTTTCAGAGGTTATAATGCTAAACTGTTGTTTTTTCTTAATGGAATCAGCTTCACGTAAAGATGGAGACTGGACTTGTTCTAAATGTGGGAACTTGAATTTTTCTTTTAGAACTGTTTGCAATCAGGGACGTTGTGGGGCTCCAAGACCTCCCCTTACTCCAGTAAGTGCAGCTAGGTTTAGGTTGTCTTCATGTTTTCCCATTTTGGTGAATGACTAATTTTATTTGAAAACGTATCCAATGGGAAAACTTGTTTACACTAGGAGTGTATGTACAAATAGACCCACAAATTCATTTTCAAGACCAGGCTTTTTCTTGGCTATGATTTACTCAAACTAAGTGACAAATGTGAATCAAAAGTTTGTATGCTTTTTGTTTTTTATTGCCTAGTAACTTTTAATTGGGATGTGCAGCCTGCCCTAATTCCAAGTCCATATAGAAATGATCATCCCTTCTACTATGGCGGTTTTGTTATTCCTCCCCCATCGTATGGAATGCCAGGTCAATTTGGATCCCCTATACCACATCCTGGTCTACAGTACGATTATGGTCTGTCTGGTAGGCCTGGTGCACCATATGGTCCATTGCCCATGTTCCCACCTGGAAGCTTTGGAGGTACACTTCCTATAGTTGTATCAGTGATTTCTTTTCAAGCTATGGGTCTGTTTCTTATTGAGAAATTTGTTTGTGGACAACCTTTTTCACATTTAGAGAAAATTGCTTTGTTTATATATGACAAAATTATTGTTAAAATATTAAACTTTAGTTTAGATGTAATCAATATTTAGCATTCTAGAATGGAATAGAGAGCAAGTAAATTTATTGGTAATAAATATTTCTCCTCCAAAAGATGAGGGAGAAAATAACTATGTGAAAACAAAGAAAAACTCTTGTAGGAGTGAAAATTTTCTGTTAATGGTTCATTGAACAATCAGTAAGCTATAATAAACATTTGACAGAGAGACCATTTTGGTTTTATATTAAAATTTCATATATCTTTGAAAATTGCATGTATCTTATTCTTGAATTTTTTTACACATTTATATTTTAGTTCATACTTACATTGGAATGGGTGACCAGATGATTTAATCTCTCCAGTATTTTTCTGATGACATAAATATAAATATGGGTGAAGTACACAATTTATCTTTGCAATTCGAGGCAAGCTTCAATGAAATAATTACTTATTCCATGGTTTCAGTTTAGATACCCAAATTTTAAATGTGGTACCGATTGTAGTTGATATATATTACCAATTCTTGTAATTTGATACCAGCATTTAATGTAGAAATTGAAAACCTTGATATTGCCACTTAATATTAAAGTGTGTTGTTGCATTGTTCTTAGTGCATAATATTTTTTTTTGGACATATCGAGATGCATTTAACACTGTAAGAAATAAAGCTGCTAGGTATAACACACAAATGTTTTGATGCGATATTGTGATAGTTAGAAGGAGTAATCTGAATGTTTAATGCTGTTAAAATGCTGCTGACTAATATTGTTTACAGCATTCTTATATGATGATATTCAAGATTGTAATTTTATTCTTTCATACTTGAAAATATCAATACTTATGAATTTTATTTATTCATTAACAATAGGAAAATAGAAATAGGAATGAGAGAACTAGGGTTCTAGAGTCCTATAAAATACAAATCTTTGAACACAAAAAACCGAAGTGAAAATAAGGTGACATGTTTGTATTTATCTGTGAAAACAGGAAATGTCTTCTCAAATCAAACAGGCCCTTAATTTTAATGTTTTAAGGAAATTAGTTATAAACCAGGATTTTGTATGTTAACTTGACCTAACTGGGATTTTGACTACTCATGCTATAAATGTGTGCTTATGTATGTGCCTATGCTAATGAGCTTTGAAATTGATTGATAATATTATCGAGTTTTTGAATTAGAGGATGTAATGCGTGGGTTCTAAAGGGAAGATCAATACAGAAAGAAAATGCTGCTCTGTAATATGTATTAATATTAGATGGATTTTCTTACCATGGAAAAGATGGCTACCGATGAGGTAGCAAACTACAGAGATAAATGCAGAAAATGATGGAATGAAACACGGAGCAAATTCAAAAACAGAAGGAAACGAGAGAGATCAGAATCGTTCCATTTATAATTTCTCTCTCCTTAACCGATAGCTATATATACTACTTACTAGACCAATCATAGTCTCTCAGTCTAGAATTGGTTATTTTGATCATGGAGCTTTTCCTTTCCTCTTCTGGCTCGTGTCCTGCTCCAGATGTATCCACTTTTGCCTCATTTACCCCTGCTATAGCCAAATTGCTTACAGAGGATTGTGTTTCTGTTCTTGTTCAAATTACAAAATTATATGGTTCATTTTTTTGTTGTTAGTTCATGCTGTATCATTGTCTCTTTTCTTTTGCACCTATAGTTAATTATGTTACATTGAATCAGGCATTGATTATGGTCCAAGGCCTAGAATTGATGGCCATGGATATGGTTTTCAGAGTCCTCAATGGGCCGAAGGATTAGTAGCTGGTAATTTTGCATCTCGAAAACGCAGAGGAGGTATTGTTTGTTTAATCTAGAAATACTTTAAAAGTCTCCTGGTTTTGAACAATACTTACTGATTTTCTAGTTTGTGAAAAGTTGCAACGGGTGACTCGTTAAGTTAGCTTGTCTTGGTATCTTTGTTATTTTTCTGTTTCATATATCAATTCATCTTAAGAATTTGCTGGCTCTTTGATCGGTTGTCTTTTTCAAAGGGTTGGCTTAGCAGTCTGAAAATGTTTAACTTGACTTTGTAGTTATGCACTAGCTTGTGGGAGAGAAAAAGATACTAATAAACAAGTGCCGTCTGTTAGTCCACAGAAGAAAAGAAGTTCTGATGTAGGAATGTTCACTTTTTCACCCTATTCTATACTAAGATACAGAAACGAAATTTTTATCTGTTGAATGTGAAACTTATTATAATTTGCTTTCTTTCCTAGCTGCCATCAGTTAGCCTTTATAGTTCATTATACCTGATTGTTAGTTTAGAGTTTGGCCTTGTGGTCCATACTAAACTTGCAAAACATTGATGATTTCTCTCTGACATAAAACCTCTGACATTATATATATAAAGTTTTGCGGTAAGATGGCATCTTAAACCGTCTTAATATGAAAGAATTGTCTTTGCAGGGCCAGGTGGTTCATCTGAAGGGGACTGGATTTGTCCAAAATGTGAGAATGTTAACTTTGCCTTTAGAACCACTTGCAACATCAAGCATTGTGGAGCTGCCAGACCCGTAAGTGTTTTCTTTTGATAAATGAAAACTCACTGGTGCCTTGTTACGAAATTTAATTTAGTGTGAGGATGGTATAAACTTGTGAAATATTTATATACCTGTTCATTGCCTGTGCACAGGTATTTTACATTAAACATTTAAATATTGATTTTAGATAGTAATCAGACTAGTTCATTGTCAAACCCTTCGAGTTTTTCTTGTTAGTTTGGATGATTTTTCGGATCAACTCCTTAATTTGAACTCTGTAAGCAGTCTTTATTATATGTTGTCATGATGAATTTTAACATCACATGCTTCTCCGTTCCATGTTTTGTTGAAGAGTTCAAGCCAAGCAAGTACTAAAGTTATTCCTGAAGGTAGTTGGACTTGTAACAAATGCGGTAACCTCAACTATCCCTTCCGAAATGTGTGCAACCGCAAAGACTGTAGAGCTGATAAAACAGTTTCTGTCTAGTCACATCAATATCATGTAAATAGAGATTTCAGTGCACATTTGTCTCCTCTTGTAAAGATAATTTACTCTTAAATGAAGATGAAATTAGATAGCTCTCACTTTGTAAGGGATGATTTTAAAAAATATTGTCTGTTGAAATAGCACTTCATTAATAGATATTTGTAAAAAAATGTAAGATTTCATTTAAGTGTATGAAATGACTTAATTTCACGAATTAGGGACCAACATATAGACCAACGTCACTATAACTGATGAACTCATTTTAACATAGACAAGTAGTTGACAAAGATGATTGAATGATCCGTACAACAGGACCTGTTATTATTTATTTTAATGATTTTATCTATACATATTATGATAAAATTCAATTCACAATCATACAAAAAATTGTGTAAATAATTTTTTTATACAACTTAAATGTGTAAGAAATATTAATTTAGTTCAATGAATAAAGATAATTTTTGAATTAATATTTTTAAAATAATTTAAAATTTAATAATGATAATATTTAATAATATTCAACATTAACAAGAATTTCATCAATAATAAAATGTCATATTATAAAAGTTAATAACAATATTATTTTTATTATTAATAATAATTTTTACATATTTTATAATAATTTTAATGAATAAATATATTCAAAATAAAAAAAATCTAATATGTTTATAATAAAATAAAAATAGCCAAACAAATAAAATAAAAATATAAGCTTGAATTCGGTTCTGGAGGACTAAATTTCGATTGATTTTTCGAAGGACAAATCAAGGTTCATAATTTATCAAGCGACCGAATTCTAATCTTGGGGTAGTAAAGTGGTCTAGTGGGAATGTGTTTATTTGGATTTTTTTTTTTTATCTGGAAGAAAAAAGAATGAACATTAAGTTATTTTAATGCAGTAGTGTTAAAGATAAAATTATAAATGTATTGAAAGGAACGAATCATAGATAGAATCATTAAAAATTTGAGATATTAAAAAATTGATGATCGATATTAATTAAAGGAAATTGTAAGAAAAAATATATATAATATCTTAGATTGAAGGGATACCAGATATATGTTGTGAACAATTGAAAAGTGTTCCAAGAAACATGTAAGTGAAAAAAAAAAGATTGAGAGATATATTAAAAAATAAAGTGATATAATACTATTAATCTAACGTTGAAAGTTAAAAAGTTCAAAATATAAAAGATAATGATGCAAATAGAGAAAAAATAAAGTAATATTTACAAATAGAAAAGAAGTAATGTAAAAGATATAGGAAAATAGTTATTATCCATCATAAATATGTGTAGTAATAGGTGATATGTGAGGACAATATTAATTGAAAAAAGAAAAAATAATTATAATGAAATAATAGTTTCTGAATTTTTATTAGGACTATATTTTATTTTTAAAATTTTATTTTAACAATTACATATAAGAAAGATATAAATATTATAAAATAAATATAAAAGTGATAATTATTAAATTATACAAAAAAACTTATATTTTACAAAATATATTATAAATAAAAAAATATTTTTAATATAATTTAAATCGTTATTTTTGTTAGTTTTTTTCACCCATTTTTATTTTATTTTTAGTAATGAGATAAATTTATTTTTGATTGAGATATATTATATTTTAAATATTGAGTAATTGGTATAGAAGTAATTTTTTGTGTCACATTACATAAATAATACTAAAATAAATTTTAATTTTGATATGAAAATTAAATATTTTAATACGTATGACGACATATAAAAGTCTTATAAAACAATTTACTTTTTGATTCCAAATATAAAAATAACATTTGTAATTTTATTAAAAATAAATTGACCATTTGGATACTATTTTAAAAATAATAACCATGTAATTAAAACATCGAAATGGTGCATAAATCTACCTCATAAAAACAAGTGCTCATATGACCCCTTACCTTCTTCGTCTTCTCCACGGTCAGCACAACAGCTTATCAAAAAAATTTCCCAACTCTTCTACACGCAACTGCTCCCAATTAATAGGACTCCCAAGCAATTTTGGCGCCTTCAAAACTATTTTCAAATTTCAAACTCCATTTTCTGCAGCATCACGAACTTCTCCACGGACTACAACAATTGAAAATGGCTTCATTTTGGTTCAAGTGACTTCTCCCTGCAACACTACTTCGAAAAACCTTCCTCCTGACAAAGCAGGTGTGCGAATGTTCTTTATGTATAATTATTTTGTAATTAGCTTCTTTTATACCCCTTTCTACAAAATCCTAAAAGCTAGGCATCAGAAATTCAAAATATCATGTTTGATCCAATGAAGAAAAATTACCTAATCAAAAACATCATTTGGTCACTAAAAAATATTATATTGAATTGTAGACAATATGAAACTGATTCACAAAAATGAATTGACTTCTATCAATGCAAATAGCAACACAAACACTAAAACCCGGAGTGTCGTCCTCTTCTGCTGCCCCTCAAGGGGAAGTTTTCTCTCTGTAAAGTGATAATTTTCAATCCTAGTTTGCAGAATTGTATAAATTCTTTTTGTCCCGTCTATTTTCTCTCCTCTGTTCTTTTTTATCCAATCCTTTTGTGATACTGCTCCTTTATATTAGGAGTGACTTATCTAATATTTTGAGCCATTAGAATTTAGGGTCTATCGTTGTTCAAATCAGAACTAATTGGAATTTCAGTTCAAATTCTTAAACCAATATGAATTTTTCGATTCGAATATATTGGGTTATCAGATTGATTGAACCTAGGTCAGTACCTCTCTTAAGTTGAGTAAATTAGCGATTAAGGTATATTATATATTGAGCATATGGAAAGTGTGTGTGCTATCGCTTTCAATTTTGCCATATTTGAAAAATATATCCCTTCTTTTGTCAGTGACACGTAAGCAGATCAAGCCTAATTTTATTTTTTTTATATTGATTGTTCAACCTAGAATCACAACCTCGATTCATAATTTTGCTTCCTGAACAAACCATAAATGATTCTAAACTCTGTATGCAGATAGATTAATATAATCTGCATTATTCAAACAAGTTATGTTCTGCTTTAAGCATAGTGTCAAGCTATTTCACGCCAAGAATCAGACCAATAATAATTAAACAATTGATAATATATTGTTAGTCTTTGAAGTGTTTAGAGAAAGTCATACTTTTCTTTAACAACAAAGTTAAGAGATACCATTAACCCCACTGCCGTGTCATCCCCACCACCGTATTCTAAGTTAATCTCTTTACAGCTTTTTTTTCAATCTCAACAACAAAACAATCATGGCGATGAGCTTCATGGAAGGAAAAGGTTCTCCATTCATATTTTTCTCCTTTCATATATATAATAACACTCATTTGTAATATACAGATATATACTACATTTTGATTTTGCATCTCAGGACTATCAACCACCCAGTTGTTGAACTTGGTAGTGAATACACTGTATGATCAATTTGTTGAGAAGGATATCAAGGGATTTGATGGATTCAATGTTGGCATTCTTGATGCCTTCAAGTAAGCCTGTAGTTCAATTCCAATGAAAATGTTATCCTAATTGAAATATATACAAGACCTAAAACGGAAAATTATACAAATTCTTCACTTTCCTTTATTTTGCCATACATTAATTTTACTCTAAAGATAGTGGAGCAAGGTACTGGTTGAGAAAAGAAAAAAATTGCGTTTGAAATGGACCTGTAGCCCATTTCTATATGGCATCAAATTTGTTAACCTCTATCAAAATTAAAGGTGGTTGATATTAATTATATGTGATATTTGCTAATAAATTTAATGCAGCACTATCAACATGGCCTTACCCGGCAAACATTATGTTGCACCTTCATTTAAGGATGTAAAGGTTAGTTATTTTCTTTGCATACATTGTCTTTATATTCTAAGTAAGGCAGTTTAATTCGCTCTCATTAACCTATATAGTATAAACTTATCTCAAGACTAAAACAAGGCCAATTACTATAATATTATTTTTAAGATATTTAACAACACCATCATCAAAATATGAAGGATGACTTCTCAGTTATTATTTTTTGTTTAGATATATAGTTAGTGGACATGAAATTTTCAACACATCTTTTATAGGAGGAAAGGTTTGATATTATAATTAGATTAAAAAAAAAAATTGACATCACCTTTAGTATAATATGGTCAAATTTGAAGAATTGTCATTTACTTATGTTCTTTCATTTCATAAGTTAATGTATGATACACACTCTTACATCAAGATCTGAACATAGTGAAAATTACCTATCTTATAATATCCAATAGTAGGTAATTTAATAGATCCAATAATAATGGATAAAATCAACTGCAATGAATCTAATATCCAACCTAAAAGAACATGATGGGTACGTGTTCTAATTTAAAAAAATAGTGTTTTTGGATGAAATTTCCATATCTCAACTAGAGTATTTAGTAAGTATCTGATGATCTTGAATTAAGGGAATAATGCTAGGTGCATGCAAAAATATTGGCTTATGTAGTCCCAGACTCACAATTTCTCATTTAATTATGTTCTCCGATTAATTTAAATGCACTTTATATTTATACGTCTATATATCCGACATACAATAGGATCAATATGTTACTGATCCCATACTTCGTTCATTGGTCCTAAACTGACACTATAGAATTCATACTTAGAGTTGTATAAGATAGTTATTTATAAGTCACTACTATTGTAAGAGCCTTATTCAATATCTATTGGATTAGGCATTTTACATTGGTTAACCAATATATGGCATGGTGGTAGATTATAAAATCTTTTTTCATTTGTTACTAGCAGAACGAATATAAAAAAGTATTTTCAACTTTTTTTGGTCCCATTGTTTATCTTCCTTTAAACAACTACTAGGAATATGTTTCTATTTTTGAAAAACTAAATATGAAACACGTAATTGCGTTTGAAAAGAAAGAGTTAGATTGAGCCTTTAACATTACTTGTAGAGCCAGTGTATATCTCGCTAAATCAGTTAGTACCTAGCAAAACCATTGTAGGAAACCAATGTCAAATTAAGTTTAAAAAACAAAATCAAACCATTATAAGATATAAGAATATGATTCAACTAATTGAGTCACGGAAATATCACAAGAGCATAAAAATAGGTATGAAACTTATTTGGGTTTCATAACTTTCCACTAACAAATATCAATTGAACAAAATAAAAATAAACATAAAAAGTTTAGAAAATAGAGAATATGTTATTATATGAATCAAGATAAGTGTTAGGAAAATTATCACTTGATGTAAGAAATCCAATATAAGATTCAAAGAGAGAGGATCATATCTTTCAAAGGAGAGAAGAATATCTCTCAAATTTTCTTATTTCTTTAATGAATGAATTTACAAGAGAAATAACACCTATTTAAGGAAGTTTTTGTCTGAAAATTAGCTTCTAATAAAAGCTAACAAGTGTTTGTTTTCAAGCTTAGGTATGATGTGTTCATTCATTCTCCTTATCTCATAGCTTATTCTTATATACAAACACTTTAAATTTATTCTTCTTATCTTAAGAACAAAGATTTTAATTCCTAAAAAATAAAAATTGTTTATTGATTTTTATATAAGATAGAATTTTCCATGTTAAAATAAAAACAACTTAACCTTCATCATTTATTCAAAGTCTTTAATCAATATCCTAATGATCCTCCCGTAATATTTGTATTATCCTTATTGTAATTACTAAATCCTTATTTCACTTTATCTGCTCACATCAACGTGTGCAAATGAAAAGAATCGAAGTTTAAAAGTCATTCTACATCATTTCTAATTTAAATATGTATAAAATAACTTTTTGAGATTTAATGGGATACTATTTTGTCAAACAAATAAATTGAATGAAAATGTTATATAGTTCTTAAAAAATTTTAAAAACTTTGATTCATTGAGTAATAATTAATTTTAATAAAATTATGAGTCTGTTTATTTTATATAACATATTTAGATTAATTTTAGAAAGATTATATATAGTAGATTTTATTTATCTTTTTGTCTATGCCTATAAATTGTGAAAGTCAGATAGTTGGAGAGAGAACCTAGTTTTAAATGCAGAGAAAGGTGATCTTAAAACTTAGACAATGTGTTTATAATTGGATACAAAATCAACTGCTCACAAACTTCCTTTATTCCAGGACTTATTCGAACAATGGAAAGAAATGGATGCAGAAGAGAAAAGGAAGAAGAAGTTCACTGAGTTCATTGATGAGAACGTGAATCTGAACAAAGTAGATGAGTCTATGTTAATCACTGCAATAGTGGCACCATCAGCAGCTATGATGGCTAAGAAAACAGGACATATAGTACCTCAACTTGCACTCATGAATGCCATACCTGATGTTGTTTTTGTGCCCTCAGCTACACTTTTGGCTCTATTTGCTATCAAGATCATAAGATTAACCTTCGTTGGAAAGACAACATCTAAGGATACAGTGTCATCTGCAACTGAAATAGAAGAACCTCAAACTACAATTGCCCCTGAAACTTCAAAAGAACCTCAAATTGAAACTGAACAAGAACCTCAAATTGAAACTGAACAAGAACCTCAAACTCCAGCTACTCCTGAAACTGAAATAGAAAAATCTCAAATTGAAACTGAACAAGAACCTCAAGCCACAACTACACCTGAAATTTTAAAAGAAGAACCTCAAATTGAAACTGAACAAGAACCTCAAACTACAACTACACCTGAAATTTTAAAACAAGAACCTCAAATTGAAACTGAAGAAGAACCTCAATCTCCAACTCCACCTGAAACTGAAATAGAAAAAGAACCTCAAATTGAAACTGGACAAGAACCTCAAACTACAACTACACCTGAAATAGAAGAAAAACCTCAAAGTGAACCTCCAAGTACATCTACACTAGAAAAGGAACCTCCAAAAAGTTCAATAGAAGGACCTCAAGTTGCAACTGTACAAAAACCTCATATTATAACTGGGCATGTTCACAAGGACAACATCCCTTGTTTCTTATGTAATGAATACCACTAATACTGAGTAACATTCAAATTCCTTTGCCTCATTATACATTATATTATACTAGTTTAATTTATATTCAATATAAAATATTTTTACACAAATATTTACTTTTTGCCCAATCATATTAGTAAATAAGATGATGTGGCAAAGTAATATAACTTTATGAATATGTGTGAAATTTTTTTATATTAATACTGTATATAAATTAAACTCTTCTCTGCATATAAGTTGTTTAGTTTTACAATTTCATATTTTAAGAGGAATATTTTTTTTAATTTTATAATATATTGTTTTATTAGTGAATACTTAGTAATTGTATTAATTTATAGGTTTATTTTAAGCAAGTCCTAGATTATAGTTATCATATTATTTCTAATTTAGAAAATTTGGTCATTTAAATGATAATTTAGTTGTTTTCTTTTGTCCAAAGTCTTTTTTTATAGTTATTAAAATGTGTGAATACGTGGTTTTCTTTACATTTTTTAACCTCTATATTCTTTTCATAGTATTGTTGATCAGCATAGTTAGGTTACCAAGTTATGAACTGAACATGTGTTGTGGCTGTGTAGGTGAGGAGCTAGAAGCTAGGAAAAAGGAAGAAAATAAGGAGTAATGCTACATCACTGAAGAGACTAGATGTCTGCATTGAAGATGAAGTTGGAGCCTTGTTTGGATACCTAATCTAATGGTGCTTGAAACTGGGTAAAAATTTGGTCCCTGGACACAGTGATTGAACATAGGATTTGCAATATTGCATTAGGTTAGCAAAATAACTGATATACTGTAAAAGGGTAATAAGGTCAGAACAACATTGGAGTGTAGGCAGCCTAGCACATCTGCAGAGGGTAATCTAAGGCTTCAAAGAAAGATTAATGGAGATAATTTTTCTTCCAATAGCTAAATCTCTCCTATTATTAGCATGTTGATGTAGTTTAAATAGATAATATGATGTACAAAAATTGTAAATGTAAATATATTTTTATGTCTTGAGTTTTTTTGTCATTTTAGCTCTATGTTTTGAAAATGATATCTTTGAATTTTTTGTAATCTATGAATTTTCCCCTTTATTGTAGTATTCTAATAATTATAGCAAGAACCAAATTCATCAAAGATGAATGGCCACTTTGGTTTTAATTCATTGTTTGTGAAAGTAATAAAATTAAAAAAACAGTGTTCTAGCAGTCCTTTGTTGTTAATAGGCGTCATTAAAGTTGAAGTTTGTATCCATATGCACCTTTTAAATCTTAAACTTGAGAACTTAGTGTTATTTTAATCTTTGAATTTAATAATTTATTATTATTTTAGTTTTAAAAATATATTAATATTTAAAGTCGTACTAAAATTGCACTAAGCGACTAAGTTAATATACCAAGAGCATTTTCAATTTGCCTATTATTTTTAAAATAATGTGAGTTTTACAAAATAAATTTTGTTTTTAATTTTAAATAACTCATATTTATAGATTCAAATTAAAATGATAATTTTATTAATAAAATGTTGTAAGTGCTTAAATCTGGATATTTAAATCATAATAACTAATTAGTTGAGAAATTAAAAAGGACAATAAATATTTTAAATCAAAGTAAAATAACATTGTGTTGGATTTGCACTACCAAAGTTATTATTTGCCTAATTACTTCCTTGGATTCAAAATAATATTATTTTAAGATTCCCATAATTATACAACAAATATTTAATTAAATATCACTAAAAAATATCTCTTATTTTTCAACTTTTTTCAGCAATTACGTATTAATTAATCTCAATTAGAAGAAATAACAACTTGAAAACAAATTTAATATGTAAAAAAAGGAAAGCATTGGTTTTTTAGTACAGGGACTATTAAAAATTAGGAGAACTAAGATTATTTTTTAAAATAAGACCAATTTTTATGTTACAAACTTTAAGAAAGGGTAGAGTGAAGAGTGATTGACATAACAATTGAGTTAAAAATTTATTTCTTTATTAATTACAAAATTAAAAAACATATGTTAATTTTTACGAATATCGCATATTTTATTTTTCAAACACATGTAAAAATAAAATAAAATGATATTTTTAAAATAATCTATTTATAATATATATATATATATATATATATATATATATATAATTATCCTATTTATTTATTATTTTTTAAAATAACTTGTTTTTTCTTGTCATGCATTCCTTAAACAAACTTCTAATATAATATTGCAAAGAAGATAGAAAGAAATTAATTCACCAATCACATCTTACCCTTATATGTTTGTGGTATATATAATAAATATTTTCTTATTACAACCACAATCTAAATTTTTTTAAAAAAATAAAATAAAATATTCTTATCTGATTAATGATGATAAGAAGAAAATAATAATAATAATAATAATAATAATAATAATAATAATACAAATTATCATGTATGTAGAGAAACAACTTGAGAGACGATGTGATAACTATCACTTATTTTTATTCACATCTGATTTCTGAATTTTAATAATAATATTTATCTCAGCAAACAAAATTTACATTTATCAAATTTTAACTCCACAGTATATTAAATTAATATAATTTTTATATTAAAATAACATAAGAAATTAGAAAAGATATCAAGATTTTCATTTTGTCCAATAGAATTCCAATTTTGTCCGTCCCTTCTCCCTCGCTTCAAATCTCTCTCCACCTGTTTCTTCTCCATCAATCACGGAGAACACTTTCGGTGATTGTCTGAATCCAAAGTGGGCGCTTGACGCCAGAGATCAACGGTGGTCGTTGGAAAACTGTACATGGGAAGAACACCGTAGTTGGTTCTTGCAGAGTCTCTTTTTCCACTTCCACAACATCGGCTTCTCGTTGGAATACTCCTTGTTCTCCTGCGCTTACTTCAACATTTTGCTCTAAAACTTTATAGGAGAAGACATAGATGGAGGAGCCGACGAAGAAGTAAGAGTAATGGGAGAGGAAAACCAACCTCAACAAAGAACCCTGTGGAGTGACGCAGAGAGAAAATGCTTACACCTTCTCCAATGCAAGACAAAGAGCGTTACCACCCTCCTCCAAATCCACGCCTTCATGCTCCAACACTCTCTCCACAATAACTTCAACCTCCTCACCGCTTTCATCGCCACCTGTGCCTCCCTCGTCGCGGCCTCCCCCAGGCGCCATCTCGCGCTCGTCCAACATGCGCGCCGCTTATTTGACCTCTCCCGCACCCGCGACACATTCTTCTGCAACTCCATGATCACCACTCACTTCGCCGCTCGCCAGTTCTCCGAGCCCTTCACCCTCTTCCGAGACCTCCGCCGCAAAGCACCACCTTTCACCCCTGATGGGTACACCTTCACCGCCCTCGTGAAGGGTTGCTCGGCGCGTGTGGCCACGGGGGAGGGTCTACAGCTTCATGGGGTGGTTTTAAGAAATGGGGTTTGCTTTGATTTGTATGTGGCAACTGCGCTGGTGGATATGTACGTGAAGTTTGGGATTTTGAATAGTGCGAGGAAGGTTTTTAATGAAATGTCTGTGAGAAGCAAGGTTTCATGGACAGCGATTATTGTGGGGTATGCGAGGTGTGGGGATATGGGTGAGGCTAGGAGGCTTTTTGATGAGATGGAAGATCGGGACGTTGCGGCTTTTAACGCAATGATTGATGGGTATGTGAAGACAGGGTGTATGGGTTTGGCAAGGGAGTTGTTTGACGAGATGAGGGAGAGGAATGTGGTTTCTTGGACTAGTATGATTTCTGGGTATTGTGGTAATGGTGATGTTGAGAATGCTAGGTTGATGTTTGACCTTATGCCCGAGAAGAATTTGTTTACTTGGAATGCCATGATTGGGGGGTATTGCCAGAATAGAAGGTCTCATGAAGCGCTGGAATTGTTTCGTGAGATGCAAACGGTGTTGGTGGAGCCAAATGAGGTAACTATTGTGTGTGTTCTTCCGGCTGTGTCTTATTTGGGTGCTTTGGATTTGGGGAGTTGGATTCACAGGATTGCTCAAAAGAAGAAGTTTGATAGGTCTGCTCGCGTTGGCACTGCTTTGATTGATATGTATGCAAAATGTGGTGAAATCATGAAAGCGAAATTGGTTTTTGAGGGGATGACTGGGAGGGAAACAGCTTCTTGGAATGCTTTGATAAATGGCTTGGCCGTCAATGGCTGTGCGAAGGAAGCATTGAAGGTGTTTGCAAGGATGATGGAGGAAGGGTTTAGACCGAATGACATAACTATGATTGGTGTGCTATCTGCTTGTAACCATTGTGGTCTGGTGGAGGAAGGAAGAAGATGGTTCAAAGCAATGGAGAGATTTGAAATTGTGCCACAGATTGAGCATTATGGTTGTATGGTTGACCTTCTAGGAAGGGCTGGATGCTTGGATGAGGCTGAAAAATTAATTCAAACCATGCCTTATGATGCTAACGGAATAATATTGAGTTCCTTTCTCTTTGCTTGTGGTTACTTTAATGATGTATTAAGGGCGGAGAGAGTGCTGAAAGAGGTGGTGAAAATGGATGAGGATGTTGCGGGAAACTATGTGATGTTGAGAAACATGTATGCTACGGAGCAAAGGTGGAGAGATGTGGAGGATGTTAAACAAATGATGAAGAGAAGAGGAACAAGTAAAGAGGTTGCTTACAGTGTGATTGAGGTTGATGGAAGCTTTAGAGAGTTTGTGGCTGGTAATTACTTGCATTCACATCTGGAGGCTATTGGCTTAACCTTGGGGCAGTTAAGCAAGCACATGAAAGTTGAAATAGTCTATTGACAATGGAAACACAGAAAGCTGAAAGACGGAGAGGTCAAAAGGAAGTCATTGAAAATGAAGAGTCACAACATGTGTATTTCTCTGTCTGTAGTTTACCTTGTACCTACCTATTTCTTAGTTTCACTCATGTATGAAATATGATGTCTACTTACTACTATTACTTAAAATGTTAAAATCTTTTCTTGGCAGGATGAGGAGAAAGTGCCATATTTACACGTGGAAGTGGATTTTAAGGAGGTACAAATCTGAAAACCTTTCAAAGGTTTTAGTTGCCCATACAGTTTTTCTTTTTCTAATTGTTTATACTTTATGGGTTTTGTGTTGGGTTGATTTATATATGCTTTGGCACGATTAATACTATTGTTGAGTTTAACTCAATACATATCTAATTTTGAAATGGAGAGGAAAAAGAAACTGTTTATAGTTTTTAAAAGGGTTAAATAAATATCTATACCTCTAAAGTTGGTGAGACAGCAGTCATGTCAATAGGTAACCAATACTTAATGTGATGCTTGAAACGGAAGGGATGTTAGTCTTGGTTTTTGAGTTACTTTCTTTTGTGTTGGCACATTGTTCTAGATTGCAAACTTAAAGAGTATAAAATTTACCCCTCATTTAAAGTCTTCAAGCCCTATACATTGAGTCTCTATAGTAATGCAGCCACTTTCCCTTGTCAATCATTCAGCCAAACAGAGAAAAGAGAAAGCATAATGATGCTAAGTAAAATTTATGTTGTCATTGTGTCTTTTTGTAAGATTCCTGATCAATCTCTGTACTAGAATGAGAGCCATGCATGTCAAGTAGTAACCCCAAAGTGCATTTCAACAGTATAATCAGAGAGACGGTCAATGCTGCTTCCAAACATGAAATGTGCTACACACAGCCCACACTTTTCTCGGAACTATGCAGGCTGGCTTCTATAAATTTATGAGAATAATTGCCATTGTTGGTTATCTGTTTGTTTTTAAACTTAGATAGGAGTTGAAGTGGGTGTGAATTTTCTATGCTTGTTTACTTGAATGGAAAAAATATTAGAAATGAAGATCCGATTGTATCTTTGTTAGTGTTGTACAAAGGTTTTTGAAGTGATCATAACTGCATTTGAATTGAAGAAATTGGTTGTTGTGGAAAATGTGTGATGCAACTAAAGTTTTTATTTCCTTTGTCATATGTGGGAGGTGTTGAATACATAGATTGATCCTTGAAGGAAATGCTGGCATTTGTCAAATGGTTTTAATCATTAAAGCTGAAGAAGGGCATATATATGCAGAGGTCAACACTACTGTAAATTAAATCGGTATCATCAACAGAAACAGTGAAGATTCAAATGCATAGGTTATGAGGGAGGTCATGAAGGATCAGGTAGATGATTATTCAAACTGACCATGGTAAATTAGTTTCCAAGGCATTGGATTTTTTAAATTAGGGGAATAAATAAAAATGTTATGTTGTTAAGTTGGAAGAAAGCTGTTTTTTATGTTGATGTTCTATGTGTATAGGTGTATTGTGCATAATTTGAAATTAGTAGAAAACAATAGTAATTACATGGGTGGAAACCTTAAGATTGCCAATTCATATTAAATGTGTTGCTGCATTGTTTTAGTGCATATCATTTTTATTTTTATTTTACATATTGAGGAACATTTAACTGAAATCAACATTGATTATGATGTGAAGCACTGACACAGTAAGAAATAAAGCTGCTGTGGATATCACACAAAATTTTATGCGATATTGTGATAGGTAGAATTAGTAATCTGAATATTACAATTATAATTAATTTGAATGTTTAATGCTGACTAAATTGAAATAGGAATGAGAGAACTAAGGTTCTATTCTAGAGTCCTATCAAATAAAAATTTTTGAACACAAAATATCATAGTGAAAGTAGGGTGATATTTCTGTATTCATCTTTGAAAAAAGGAAATGTCTGCTCAAATCAAGCAGGCCCTTAATTTTAATGCTTTAAGAAAATTAGTTATGGACTAGGTATTTTGTATTTTAACTGGACCTGACTGGGAGTTTGACTACTCATGCTATAAATGCCTCTTTAGGTGCCTACGTTATTAAGCTTTGAAATTGATTGATAAAATTATCGAGTTTTGAATCAGAGGATTGTGTTTTTGCTCTTGTTCAAAAATGCAAATTAGTAGCTGACAATTTTGCATCTTGAAAACGCAGAGGATGTATTTCAGTATCTACTACTACTTGATCACTTTATATTCAACCTGCTCATTGTCTTTGTTTTCCAACATTGAATTATTTGTTTAATCTAGAAATACTTTAAATTCTCCCAGTTCTGAACTATATTTACTAATTTTCCATTTTGTGAAAAGTTGCAACCGGTGACTCTGGTAAGTTAGCTTATCATGGTATTTGTTTCTGTGTCCTGTTTCTTATATCAATTCCGCTTAAGAATTTTCTGACCCTTTGATTGATTGTCTTTTGCAAAGGGTCGGGTCATAGTCTTAAAATGTTTAACTTGACTTAGTAGTTATGCACTAGCGTGTGAGACAGAAAAAGATACTAATAAACAAGTGTCGTTTGTTATTCTGATTTGAATATTCACTTTTCCACCATATCCTATAAAAAGATATTGAAACGAAATTTGTATCAGTTCAGTTGAATGTTAAACTTATTATAATTTGCCTTCTTTCCTAGCTACGATCAATTAGCCTTGTTTGTTAGAGTTTGACCTTCTGGTCCATACTAAACTAGCAAAATATTGGTGGTCTAATCTCTGTAATAAAACCTCTGACACAATTGAGCAGCAGAGGAAATCAGGTGGTTATTTTGCATTTATAAGAAGTTTTGTCGTAAGATGACATCTTAACCGTCTTAATATGAAAGTATTAACTTTGCAGAGCCAAATGGTTTTATCTGAAGGGGACGGGCTTTGTCCAAAATGTGAGTGTTAACTTTGCCTTTTGCAACATCAAACATTGTGGGGCTGGCGAAACCCAGAAGTGTTTTCGTTTGTTGCAATTTTCTGATAATCATTCTCCTTGTTGCTTGAATCATGAATGGATATTGCAAATACAAGAGATGACCCTTTCTTTTGAGATCAAGCTTTGTTCTTCGCTGCATTTATAAGCCTCAAATACAAAAGTCCAATAATGGAACTATTATATAGATGCAAACAGATATTAAAACATGATTTCTGATGGTATTGTTTTCCTCCTTTACTTATATAAAATGATAATTCCGTTCTGTTAGTTAAGTCCATAAATGAAATGTCAGAAATATTTTTATCTACAGCACAATCAACGTGTATGAATTCATCATCTTGAATGTCTGATAAAGTTAGATGGAAACCTCACTGATGCCTTGTTACGAAATTTAATTTAGTGTGAGGATAGTATAACCTTGTGAGTATCTTGCATGGAATATTTATATACCCGTTCATTACAAGTGCACTAGTATTTTATGTTAGACAATGAATGTTGATTTTAGAAAGTAAAATTTATGAGATATTCTCAACTAATCAGACTAGTTCATTGTCAAATCATAAAGTTTTACTTGTTAGTTTCGATGATTTTTCTTCTTAATAACTCCTTAATTTTAATTCTGAAACAGTCTTTACTATATGTAACTGTCATGATGGATTTTAACATTACATGCAGTGTTTCATGCTTTGTTCAAACCAATCAAGCGCAACAGTTATTCCTGAAGCTAGTTGGACTTATGAAAAATGGGGGAACCTCAACTATCCTTTTGAAATGTATGCAACCGCAAAGCTGTAGAACTGATAAAAACAGTCTGACTATTGACATCACTATCATGTCAATAGAGATTTCAGCATTTGTCTCCTTTTGTAAAGGAAAGTTGCTCTCCAATGAAGATGAAATTGGGATGACACTGACTTTGTGAGGGAAGATTTCCCGACAAATAAATTTTCCTTGATTATTATTACAATTATTTTTCTGTTAATTAGATATCACAACTTTTATTGAAAGAATACTAGAAGTAGTAGCATATGATAACGTTTTCTGGTCACTTTTACACAATAGAATGTTGATGTATATGAGAGGCATTAGGATAATAATACTCACCTGTATCTAGTCACTTTTACACAATGTCGTGCTAGTTAGAAACTTATGTTTTAGTGTTAGTAAATTGTTTCGCGTTGATAATTTGTTTTATCACTTTTAAATGCCGCCAAGTTATCAATTCTGTTAAAATGGAAAATTAACATATAATTGTGAATAACTTGATATATATTCATGTACCTTTTTCTTATAGTAATTTCTTATTGTGTTGATAATTTCGGCTCACTTTCCATAGCCAGGTTAAATTCTGTTGAAACCGCAAGTTATTAATGAAAGTCGTGTGTGTGTGCGTGCGCTAGTTGGGTGTGTTAATCGGAAAGAAATAAAATGTTTTGTAGTTTCTGCCACATCAACCAAGGTGCAACTTATCAACCAGTTGACAATTTTATTTAATGCAACTAACGTTAAAATGAAGTCTAAAAGCAACAACAGTGTGGCATGTTTCATCTTTCTAATATGCATGTACAATTAACTTGAAAGAAATCAAACACTTAAAAGAAACAAATATGACAAAATAAGAAACAAGAAAAAAAATAGAAAGAAAACACTCAGCTGTGTCAAAAATTATAACAGCATATGTAGTGCCTCTTCAGGGACAAAGAGAGAAAAGACTTAATCGATTGCTGACGCAATAATCCCCAAGCAAATCAAGTTAACAATTGCATAAAATAAGAAGCTCAAAATAAGAATTTTCCGATACTTATAAACACAAACTTTCTTTATACATGGAGCATTTCTACCTTTACGTCATGTACAATTGAACTCATTTGTTGATGAAAAAACGCATCTTGATGTAAGAAAAAGAATGTCCGAAATAACTACCATTTACACATTATGATTCATAAATTCTGGGCTCCTGTAATTTACTCAAGAAACAAATAATCAGTGCATGCAGATCCAATTCAAGCATACTATCTCCGTTTCCAACCCTTTGAGACAATTTTCCTCCTTCCCCTCCTTTTGCTCCTACGAAAATTTGAGTTTGATGCAGAACCAACTTGCAAAGTAGAAACAGCATTCTCAGCGTCCATCTCAGATTCTACGACTTGAGCAGTGGACATGGATTTATGCTCTTCAACTAATTCCTTGTTTTTCTCCACAAACTGGTTTCTAACGCTCTCAAAATCATGCAACTCTTCCTTAGCTGCCTGATTTTGTATAAGAATTCCATCCTTGGCCTGCATGCAAAGGATTTGACATTACAAATTTACAATGTCTATAATGATTCTTAAACATACAGAGATATATAGAACAAAGTTTACTATTCACATATAACCTTAGTCAATGGATTGTTTGGTCCATGACAAAAATTCTTGTTATCAGCACAAAATTTCAAGTAACAGTACACATAAAAGAATAAAGTATTGACAGAACAAAGTACACGCAAGATGCACGTCTAAACAAGGATGATATATACACATATGACATGACAGCTAGGGCCACGAGGATATGCTAATTTTGAAAAACCTAGAATATTAGAGGGCATGTCCAGAGTAATTACATACATATAACATATACCCAATATCAAGCACAAGCACAAACTAATGCAAGCAAAATAGAAAACATAATAACATAAATTTGAAATTACATTTACATAGAAAAAGACTTACATTATCCTGGAGAAACTCAAGCTGGGGCATATTAGTGGTTCCGATAAAGGGAGATATCAGAGACCGAGTTGGCAATGTATTTTCAGTCAAAAGTAGATCTTCTGAGTTCAATTCAGATTTTTGCTGTGATGAAGCAGGAACAAATCTGACTGAGAATGTGTTGTTATTGCCGACTAAAGAACTAGAATTATGACCAGAAGGATTAAATCCATCAGATGGTCCACTCATGCACAACCGAGTTACAGAACAGAACTTTCCTGGATTTTCACTGACAACATTATCAATACGAGTTTTCAATTTCCCAACATGTGACTGTAGCTCTTGAATACTTTGAATGATGTCATTGATAGCTTTATCATTATCTTCAAGATCGGCAGAAGACAATGTATCATGAAACTTAACCTCCTCGATAATATCTGCGTGATCTTCAGACAAACAAAACAGGATTAAAATTTCAGTCATGGAAGGTGAAAACAAATAACAATGGATTAAATCCTGATTCACAAAAATAGTTATACTCGTACCAATAAACACGTGTAAAAAAGATGAAAATCTTAGAACGTAATTTGTTCACCTTGAATGATTCAAATTTAACGACATGGTTTTAGTTGTTAAATAAATAAAATATACAGCATTATGTACACTACTGTCACTCACTCAAGGCATCACCAGAGAAATCTTCCATACAAGCGCCCTGGTTTTTGTTCTCTGGAATTTGACAGAAAAGGAGAAAAAGATTAGGGAGGAGCATCACATTAGCAAAAAATACTACAAAAAAACAAGAAATGTCATACCATAGTAAGAGAAAATACTATGGTTAGACACATATGGTGATAAATCACGTTCTTCAGCCTTTTTCCTTTTTTTTCTCTTCATAATTTTATTTCTGGCAATGCCATCATATATAGGTACGGACTTCACATTAAGATCATCAATTGTGAGCTTTGAAAACTCAAGCTGCTTTCTATAATCGTATGCCGCAAGCTCTTTATCATATTTCAGTGCAAGAGTGTTAAGTTTCTTCACTTGCAATTCTAGCCACTTACAGCGCCACCTAACAGGGTGAATGAAGCTCCTCCAGTGCCATGTCGTTGCCTTGTTCCTTCTGAATGGTTAATAGTGTAAATTGTGAAACACATGCAATTGATATTCTAATAAAACATGTAGCAGCCAAGACTAAGCAACATTGAAACAAAAATACTACACATCACAACTTTAGTCATGTCAACAAAAATAATAGATCCAGTCAAGTTTTCTATTTTGAGCAGACTTTATACTTGTATCAAAATAAAGGGAATGAAAGCAGATGATTCTTCTGAAATATCTACCTAGAAAGTAACCTGAAAAGAAGGTTTTATTAGGGAAAAAGGACGGAAATTGATAGCAAAAATGATCGGATGATAACTGTTATCCAGATTGCTTGTATACACGGTTAGTTCTTTCCCCCTTCTTTTAGTGTGCTCAATTATTTTGTATTGCTTTCTTCAGACATAACAAGAAGAATTGAGACTAAATCAGAAACATACCTAGATGGAGAAGTCTTACTTTGATCACCATCACACATTGGCAGCGATTCTATTCCAGTATTAGTGAACGCCGAGCCCGAGGTATCCTCTGTGCCAGAATCTGTATCACCAAAAGAACTGGAACTGGAACATTCAGAATCAATGACATCCTCACAAGCATCTTCCACTGCCCTGCCACCAAAGGTTACACTCCCACTCCCAACTATATTAACCTGCACATCATCCTCATTTGCACTAGACATAAGAATACGCTCAATTCCCTGGGAGCTATTTCCAGGCTGCCGAACCACCTTTTGCTGCTTTGATTCTGAAAATGCTGAGGCAGGAACCCTTACATTATCCTTTTCTATAGCATCTTCTTCTGGCTTCACATTGCCAGAACTCATTTTTCCAAATCATTCAACCTTTCCTATTCAGAAATGAAAGCAAAGATCAGACCACAATGTCATGATTGGAATTGGAAGAATGCGAAATCCCCCGCCCAATTGGAATCAACTTGCCCCACAAACCCTTACGGAGAAATTGAACGTCCCATTGTGAAATTATTAACAAATCTGAAAGAAAACACAGATAATATAAACAAAAGTAGTAAAAATTCAACCTTGGTAGAAACTAGGTTAGTACAAGAAAGTGTGTTATCTTAAGAGGGGTTGATAGATATGATCCACGAAAAATTAACACACTGACCCAAGAATCAATAATCACACAAGACATACAGCAACAGAGAGAAACACTTACAAGAGAAGAGAGATGAATTTTGCTTGGTGGAGTAGAATTGGAACTGTTGTTGAATGCTTATTTATTTGGTGATGCACAGCGAACAATCCAAACGGAACAATTAAGTTCTCCTTCTGTCGTTGGTATGTATATGAATTTTTTTTATCCTCTATTTCTGCTAAAATATTAATATCCTATGTCAATATTTATCTATTATTATAAAAATAACATTATTAGGCGGTTTGACCGTTATTAATTTTAGAGGATAGTGATATTCTATCCATCATATTAAATAATTGATATCTAAAAGCTATATATAGTTAGATATTAATAATGTTTAGTCGGTGCAACCTATAAATAATGTTAAATTATTAATAAAATAAATATATAAAATGAAGACAAATTTATTTGTATAAAATAATTTTTTTATATATAAAAGTTAAGTTTATTTAAAATGTTGCCTTATACAAAATTAATTAGGTGAATCAATTTTTTTAATAAATATTCAATACTTTATTAGTATTTTTTAAAATAGAGATAATAATTATTTTTGTAAACTATTTGAAAGGAGTATTAAGATTAAGATTTGAAGAATTTGTGATAAAATTGTAAACAATAAGAAAAAATTATATCAATATTATAAATTGTATTATTATTATAAACAGTAATTTTATAATATTAAAAGTTTTTGAGATACTATAACAAAAATAAAATATTCTAAATTATAAACTATCGAAGTTAGGCATAAAAAAATGATGAAGATATGATTAGAGGAGCTCGTAATTATTTATTAAAATGAAACATTGAATTCACATAAAGATAATTAGGACTCGTGAGTGTCCTGTGAAACAAAGAACTATTATATATTTTATTTAATTGGTTTATACAATGAAAATAATATATTTATTTAATTAATATTTTATAATGGTTAAACTAATTTAATTATAGTTAATAATAAAAACTAAAAAATATTAACCAAATGTCATGGATTTTTAAATAACAAAAAATCCAAGATTTAAAATAAAAATATGTATATGGATTTAAAATATATTCAAGTCAATTATGATATATTAGTTTTAAATCACACAAGAATATTATAAAAGAAAAAGGTAATATTTATATTACATATATCTTTAATATATTATAATTAATAATTCTAAAAATATAAACCATATGAAAGTAAGTTATAGGTTCTAAATTATCCCGTAAGTATTATTTTCTTTTTTTTAATATAGCAAAAGATTATTGGTGATGGATGTCAATTTAACTGAGATGTAAATACTTATTCATGTAAAACAAACCGAAATTGTAAGTTCTAAATAAATTATAATTATTTTAAAAAAATATAATGTGAAAATTAAATTTTTGAATTTTAAGATAAAATAAATATAATGATCTTATTTATATTAAATAATAAATATATTTTATAATTAAATATTTTTTAAACAAATATAATTATTATATATTAATTCATACTTTTTATTTTTAATATTAAATTAATAATAGTTAATGATACGGACTAAAACTAAATAGATAAAAAATGCTAAAAATTTCAATTAAGTGTTTGGATTGGGTAGGACTGGAGGAGTGAATTTGAGAGTGGTTTATACTGAGGAAAAGACCATCGAGAGATTTGGATAGATTTATTATAATTAATATGATGAAATATAAGATAATTGAATAATAATAATTTTTAGGTAATTATCAAATTATCCTTATAAAATAAAATTGATTTAGAAGAGTACGAGACCAACCTTTTTATCACCCCTAATCTATTCAAATAAGGGAAAGCAAACCGTAAAATATCTTACAAATTCTCTGGTAAATAAAATATAAATATATATTTTTATAAATATTAAAAACGAATCGTATTTTAGAAAATAAAAATATATATTTAAAAAAATTATATATATTTTTTATTTGTTGAGAATAAAGGATTATTTATCCTAAGTAATCAATTTAATAATATTTAATATAAGAATCATAGTTGTGTGAGAGCGGATAATGAGATCATTTTACCAGAAAAAAAAAATTGGGAATGCACTGCACATTACTTTAGTTAAATATTTACGATTTCCACATATTGTAATAATATTTTTTATTTTCTTATTTAAAGTATACATTTATTGAAAAGATAAAAGTATTTTAATAAAATTATATATATATATATATATATATATATATATATTTAAATTCTATTTGATATCAAAATAAGATGTTTACCAAAAATAGATTTCCAAGTTAAAAAACTCAACTTAGAAGCGATTACGTTGAATTAAAAAATGCATGTTTTAAAATGGAAAGTAAAATTTATTAAAATAGATTTAATTATAATCTACATCATAGATTTGCATACAACTTCGAGTGATGTAATACAAACACGCATTATTAGAAAAAATTACCAATCGGATATAATTAATTGTTATGAAAATTATTAATTTATTATATTTTTTTAATTTTAAAAATTATATTAGGTGACACGACTCTATTGAATAAAAATCGTATTAACTAATATTATTCTAATCTTCAATTATTATTATTTTTTAAAATAAATTGTTGTATATAAGACGACTTTGTGAATTTTTTTAAAATACAAAAGTCATTTTATTTTTTTATTAATTTAATTATAAAATATTTTTATGTGTAATATTCTGATATTTTAATATTTTAAAATTTATAAGTAAAAAAATAAAAGTATATAAATTTAGTTAATAGAATGGCGTACATTAATATTAATAAAAATAATAATATGTTTCAAAATAATGTAGTACAAAGGTAAAGTGAACAATTTAGTGTTGAAAATTTATTCTATAATGTGGTATTTTTCTATTTCATCATAATCTTTTATTATGTTGGAGGATATGTCTTTGTTGTGTTTTTTATCATTATCATGGTGTTCCTCTTTTTTAATTGGATTTGGAGATGTGACCATTGTTGAATGATAATAATCCATAAATTTAATTAGATGATATGTTAAAGGTGAAGTCATGAAAGATGTGGCAAAAAAATTAGATCGAGAAGACATCATGTAAAGGACATGTCCTCTGAAATTATTTCTCATAGATAAATTTTGAAGATTATCAACATAACAATAAAATGGAACTGGTTGAAAAGTAGATTATGTTGTTGATAAGTTGTCGACTAGTTTGCAAATAACCAAATAGATTAAATTGTTGATAAGTTGATTAAGGAGGTATGTTATAAGTAAATAGACTAATGTGTGAATAAGTTAGTTAGAATATTTGTTCTTAGTTCATTTTGTGATGTATGATACTAATGAAAAAAATATATAAAAATAATATTTTTGAGAAAATATAACGAAATGAAATAAATAATTTATTATACTTACTTCATCGTTTGTATCTTGTGTTTATTTAGTAGAAATACGTCATATAGTGCATGCGTTAAAATACCATTACATAAAATATGTATTTTCACCCAAATATCCATTTTCTTGGAACGGTTGACTTTTAATTTGTCGATTATATCTATCATTCTATAATACAATCCATTGTTAACGATATTGTGGGCAAAATATGTTTATTTTGCCCTTCATCTATTTTGTGAAGTTCATCTAGGTTCATTAAATCATCATTAATATTTGGGCATATGTTTCATAACTTGATCACCTAATAAAACTCAACAGATTGCGAAACAAATAAAGAGTATAATATGACATGAAATAGGATAAACTTCCACATTTATTAATCATTATATAACATGTTTACGGTGAAGATTTTATATAAACTACACATTGAAGAAAAAATATATTATCAAAAAATTAAAATATGTATGCAAGAACAAATTTATTATTATATTACCTCATTTAGTGGTAGTTGGTTTCAAATATATGTATACAATAATATGTATGGATATTTAATCTATAACATAGTCAAAATCACCTAAGATAAGAATAATTTTGTAATTTTATGAATAAAAATATGCTAAGATAAAATAAAAATAAAATGTCATACATTTTGCTAGTGAAAAACTAAATCTTCCATTAACCTTTTTATCAATTAAATCTTGAACATGTGGACAACAACATGTAACGTGGTCTCATGTCCAACGTTAAAGATATAACACACAATCTCCAATATTTTATTCGTTAAGGTCAACTTCATAGTTTAAAGCTCAATAAAGATAAATAGGCACGATCCTAAATATAATGAAACACAATAATTAGGTCTCGTAAAAGTAAAAGATATATGAAATGAATTCTAGAAATATATTAGTCTCTTTATACTTGATCCAAATTTTATTTCAAGTCCAATTATGTTAAGTAAACCATTAGGAAGCAACAAAATATATAAGTCAAATCCAAATAAACCGAAAAAATGTTCATTTTAGGATCATAAATAATAATTGTCCAAATAGATAAAAACATTATAATATATTTCACATTAATTTTATTTTTTTTAACTATGGTTATAATTTTAATTTTTTACTTATAAATTTATAATCTTAAAAAATAGTTAATAAAAAATATATTATAATATTATGGTTAAAATATATAATATTATATAATTAAAATATATTATAAACATATAAAATTCTAAAAATATAAAGTATTATTTTATAATTAATATAAATATATAAAATATTCTATATAAAATCTGAAAAAAATAATAATAATATGCAAACATGATTTTGTGAAAAAAAAATTATATAGGAATAAATTTGTGTTACACGATGTTTTACAATAGAGCTGTGTCATCTAGAAACTTTGTTAAAAATAAAAATAATAATAATAACAGAGGACCAAAATCTTACCACATAACACAATTTTTGTATAATGTCATCTACCACGATTTAATCATATCCATAATTTAAAAAAAAAAAAAATTGCATGAGATTGATAATTCCAAATTGCACCATAACGATAATTTTGCAGGTGAATTGTTACACAAAGGGTTCGTTCCATTTTGCGGAATTCCTGTGCAGCTTTACAGAGGTGATGCTCTTTCTGTTCATTTGCTCACACATAAGTGGACCCTTCCTCTGTTACACACCTTTCCCACGAAGCAAACACAAAATCTCGTGTTTTGAGAAAACTGTAATCTCAAAAGCAGGGAAAGGAGTGCAGGGAGACTAATTTCCATGGTGGGGGACCCGGCTTCTGCTGCTATAAATAACCATCGTCGAACTATTCCATTCCATCCTTCTCAAAGCATAGACTCATTCTACATTCTACTGTTCTTGCTCGCTGCTAGTCTTGCTCATTTCAGAAAATGGCTAACGTGAGAGTGTTCGCGCTTGCACTCTTCTTGGTCGCATTGACCACTGGAGCGCAAGCAATTCCATTCATCCTTTTGCATGGTAGCTACTGCTACTAATTGCTTTTTCTATTCTTTAGAACACTCCTGGTTAACTTCCTTCGTTAATTCAGTTTGGCATAATGCTCGTTAATTACTTGTTTATCATCTGTGTTAGTTCTTGTTTGAAGTGATGTTGTAGTATCGGATTTGTTTAATTTTTTGTTTGAAGCAATTTATTTAGTTTTCGTGGCTTGCTGTTGCTGACATATGCGTGTTCGTTTGTTAGTTTTGTTTGCTGTTGCTCACGGATGTCCAATATATCTGTGTAACTTTTTTCAGCTTGTTCCTGAATTTGTGATTAGTTTCACTTCATTTATTCTACTGCTTTTCAAATTCTGAGTTAAGAGGGAGGTGAATACAAGTTTTCTTGTGCAGAAGGATTTTGTTTTCAAGTTTGATATTTGGAGCTGACAGAATTTGGCTTCTCTGATGTTTTTTTACGTATTAGATTAAATAAAATTTCAATCATTTTAATTTTATATAATCATAATTATTTACGTTGATTAAAGTTTCAAAATTGGTGTGAAATGAGAATTATTCGTTCTTGTACATTTGAGAGTGTGTTAGGGCAAGAACATATCTATCAACACACTATTGTTGTCTGCTTTAGCCATAAGATACTGATTGTTTAAACTTTGTGTCAGGTGCTACACAAGCTTGCAAATATTTGAACATCCAATCCAAGACATGTTGAAGACTCTTAGGGAATTGTCCGGTTCACCGGGATACTGCGTGTCGGTTCTTGTTAACTTTTATTCGTATTTATTACATTTATTTGGTCAAATTTCTTTTCCTAAATTGTAAGCCAAGGCATAATAAATTCTTAATTAATGTTAATTATGTGTGCTTAATCTAACTGTAGGGAAATTGGAATTGGATCATGGGATTCTTTGACGAAGCCCATGTTAGAACAGGTGATTCTTGAATCCAGTGTTTCCATGCATCTGATCGATCGATGTTTGATTTGACAATTTACTAACCATTTATTTTGTCTCTCTACGCAGTCAGCTATTGCCTGTGAGAAGGTGGTGAAGTTGTTTGGTAATTTTCGGTTCCAGTAGTTTAATCATTATGAAATTTTGCATAAATTTTTGTTTCCATCTATTTATAGGTAAAGAATATGAATGATCTGCGAGATGGCTACAACATTGTGGGACTTTCTCAGGTATGCAATAATTTATGACATGTTACTTTGATTCATATTAATTGTTTGATTTTCCTTTTATATTTTTCACCCTATCTATGCATTAGAATTTCTCTTATTTACTTCTTATTCTAAATTAGAATTCCTATATAAATATTAATCACTTGATAAAATACTTCTGATCTTAATATACTACTTTTGTGATTTTCAGTTTTTTACTTAATTCATCAACAGTATATTGGTTCTTTTGGTTATTAGGGAAACTTAATTGCTAGAGGAATAATTGAGTTCTGTGATGACGCACCTCTGGTAAAAACTAGATATATATTACTGTTAAATTCAAGAACTCTTGACACTGTATTTTAGTGTTTAATTTCTTTGTACCATATTTTAATTTAATGTAGTGTATTACATTTGTTCTTTATACATGATACAGGTTAAGAACTTAATATCACTGGGAGGTCCACATGCTGGTATCGCTTCGTTTCCATTTTGTGGAGTATGTACTTCTCATACTTACACTTAAATATTGATCCTTGATGTTTGTTACATATGTGATCGAGTAAAAACATTTAAATAATTAAGCTATTAATTAGTTGTAATTTTGTTACATTGTTGTCGATGCTGGTCTAACATGATGTTTTTTTTTTTTTTTTGCCAGCACAAGATAGTATGCACCATTGTTGATTTTATACTCCGAATGGGGATCTACACCCCGTATGTTCAGGTTTTGACTTTTATTTTTCACTCTTTTTAATATAATGAGAGATGAATAAATGGTAGTTATGGTCTTCTGGAAAATGGTGTTTGCATCTCTTTTGTGTATGTCTTACATTAACTTCAAAAATAGTTTCCTTCTGAAAATGTTGCACAGGTGGCTTACTTACCTTGTTTTCTTGTTGAATGTTTTGGTGCAGCGAATTCTGGGTCCCAGTGGCTATGTAAAAATACCAACAGTGAGTACAATCTTGAACTTTTTCTTAAGTACTGCCTCAATATTATAGGGTTCAAACTCATCAAGTGCTTCTATATATGATCTGTCCTTTGGTCCTTTTGCAGGATATAGCTGACTACAGAAAAGGTTGTGAGTTCCTTCCAAAGCTTAATAATGAAATTGCTGATGAGAGGAATTCCACCTACAAGCAACGATTTGCTAGCTTAGAGAATTTGGTTCTCATTATGGTGAGTTAAAAGAAGCATATATATATATATATATATATATATATATATATATATATATATATATATATGTATACAATCTTCCTCTAATCTCTCATTAATGCACAACTGTTGTGTCAACATGACTGATTTGTGCCTTGTTTGGATGAAAACTAGTTTACAAAGGAGGAAATTTTAGTACCAAAGGAAACGGCATTGTTTGGTTATTATCCAGATGGAGCCTTGCATCCCGTTTTACCCATGCAACAGGTGTTTTAAGTTTTCCATAGCTGCACCAACTTTTACATATATCTTTGTTCTTCTATCATATTCCATGTTCAGACTTAAAAGAATGGTTTGTTTTGTGCAGACTAAGCTCTACATTGAAGATTGGATCGGTTTGCGAACTCTTGACGAAGCTGGGAAAGTTAAATTGGTTAATGTATCGGGAGGGCATCTGATTATGTCTCGAAGAGACATTGAAACTTATGTAGTGCCCTATTTAAAACATTAAATGTTCAAGAAGATTTGATACTTCTTTCTCATCATATTTAGCACTCACAAAATATGTATTTGGTATAATAAGATATAAATGCAATGTATTTGATAGTTCCGTGCTTTTTATTGCATAGTTTCCTTCTTCTTATCTCTTCATTTTTGCTAAGTTATTTAGTCTCGTTTAAAGTTAATCATTGTAGATCTTCAAATTTACTTTATTACATTTTAAGACAGTTAAGTTTTCTGCATATCTTCATAGTTCTATCTAAATTTCAAACTTTTTTATTATTACTTCGCACATTTATTGTTTCCAATTCTTTTCAATTCAGACAGTTACATTCTTAGTTTTTAAATCTATTGTTTCTTTACAAATTTATCAAGTTTGCTTTACATTTCGTTTTTATTAAACGATTCTAGTTTCTAGCAATAACTTCAGAATCTAGAAATTGGCACATTTTTTTATTCCATATATATTAGAATTAAAGTAGTATGCTTTATGCAAGGTTTCACTCATGTCCAAGCACACAAAACCAACGTCATAATCGAAATTGATTTTGTCAAATCCAATTTAAATAAAAATCCAGTTCATTTTTTTATTTTGAAGTATCAAACACATATTACTTATCATTTATTAAAATATTTAGACCTAATTTAATTCTACAAAATAAAATTGACTATAAACATTATTCTTATGTAATGTGATAAAAAAAATATTGTGCCACGTTTACTCATGTGAAATAAATCAAATAGACGATTATGTATTTATAATTTTATAAAAAAACTATAAATATATTCATTTAGAAAAACAAAAATAAAAGGATACATATTATCACAGATTAAGGAAGAGTTAGTTTTCTATGATGCTCAAAAAAAAAAACAATAATAATAATAATAATAATAATAATAATAAACTAGTCATATTTAAGTACTTTCCAAAATTAACAAATAAAAGTTAATGTCTTTGATAAATTATTTTTGTAACAAACAATTTTACAGTTTATCAACACAAACTGCGCAGTTTGACTTGGTACATGAAAAGAAACTATTCCCATTGCTTTCGGAGAGTTTTTATGAGAACAAAACAATCTTTCATCAAATGACATCAAAGTTCTCCCTCATACACCAAGGTTTTGGAATAGATTCCTTTGTTCAGGTAAGAAATTGATGTTATGTTTCTTCCAACTCTTTTCTCATTTTGTATACAAGAGTTAGATGTTGATAATGATCAAAATATCCAAGTTGATGTTCATAATTATAATAGGTTCTATGACTGTTGATTTTGTTGATATACAGTTACCATGGATCCCTTTAAAGGACAAGGAGGCATTCAGATGCTGCTAACTGCTGAACAAGAAGCACAACATATTGTTTCTATGGCAAGAAATTGTAAGACCTCAATTCTTTTTATATAGTATTGCTATCAAAGTTTTAAAACAAAACTGTTTGTAACCGCGATTTATTGTCTGTAATATCCTGCCATATAAGAAATATGATGAAATTATAATTGGTTTAAGATCTACAATGAATTAATGAATTTTGTGTTCAATATTTCAGTAAGGACCCAAAGGTTGAAGCAGGCGAAGGAAGAGGCAGAGAAGGAGGCTGCACAATACAGATCTCACATGGAAGATGAGTATCAAAAATCAATTTCAGAGGTACAAAGTGATGTTTATGGTATTGTCTAGGTCAAAATTCAAATAAGCCATGTTTTCATTGGATTGAAAGTATTCTGCTATTTGGTTGAGTTTCCTTAGACCACTGGGAGTTCTGGATCTAATGTAAAAAGGCTTGAGGAGGATACAGAGGCTAAGATTAACCATTTAAAGACATCAACTTCAAAGGTCTCATCAGAAGTGGTTGACATGCTGCTCAAGTGTGTTACAAATATCAAAATATAATGGCCTAACCTAAGGTTAGTATCCTAATTCATCTTTCAAGTATTCAATTTCACAGAGCTCAGAGAGGGATTGTTCATCTGTAACTTGATTCTTATTTATCATCTCTTTCATTTTATATGCTTAATCATTACCAATAACTTTGTAATTAGCAGAAATCACCTTTTCCTCACTGATGCATGGCTCTGGGGTTTTGCCAATAAATTAAATCTGGAAACAACATACTTTAACCATCCTTTGTTGTCCAAGAATCACAACCAAATTCAATAGGGTTTCATTTCACGAGGGTAATTTGAGAAACATTATTAAGGTAGGGTTCTTTCAGTACTGTGCCAAACTTCTTTTAAGTTAAAAACATGGGTATGTGCAATAATGATTTGTGAATATAACTACATACTCTTCTAGATTCTTTTCTTATCAGTAATTCAATCATATGGTAAAAAGTGCTACTGAATTACTCATAAACAATGATGATCACATGTAACATCATTTAGGGGTGTCTTATCTTCTAACTAATCTTTTATGATCACTCTGTTTAACTTTGTCTTTATGGTATGTTTTCTTATGACTCAGTAATTGCTCAAGATGACAACATAAAGAGTGATCATCACCTACAATAAATTGACAGGCAAAGCTAGGAAGATTCATCTGAATATTGTTTGCTTTTGTCTCGGGCTACAAAACTCCGCTTCAACAGTTATATATCCCTTGTCACAAAGTGAACAAAAGCAATTTTTTTTTTCACATTTAATATAATTAAATGCTTCAGTAATATCATTACATGGTTAAGAATGTTTATGGAAATATGGAACTCTGTTACCCTCTCAGTGAAATAACTCTAATCATTAGATAATCATCTGGCCAGAGTCTTGCATTTGTTGTAGCACAAAGCACAAGACAACAAAACTCATTCTTTTTTTTAGAAGCGGAGAAATTTCTGAACAATGTTAATACGTAGAAAAGAGATAACCAAAGAAAAGAGAAAATCTTAAGTTGGTTGAATTCGCAAAACTGAAATGTTTTAGGTTGGTTTCCACTGAACTTTCTAAGTGTATATGATCTCTCTCACAAATTTATTTATTTTATTTATCTCTATATATAATGTACACTTATTTATTTAGTTTGTAGCAAATTAAAATACATCTACAGTTGATGTATATTTGAAACATTTTAACAAAGTAGGACTGATATTAACTTAAGATATTGTTATGACTTAATAAAATATTTTTACTACAAAATAAGTATGATTTAAAATTTGTCCTTTCATTTGTCTTCTTTCATAGTAACTTTTTAAATTATAAATATGTTAGTCTTTTTATTTTCTTTAATGAAAAATACTTATAAAGAAGTTTGTTATAATGTATAAAGCATCATCTCTAACAAGATATTCTTACTATAACAATAATAAGGTGGTAATAATAATTTTTAATACTCATTAATCAAAGATAGAAAAATGTGATACAGTAGGAATTAATAAACAAGTTTTTGTTCCTCATAAATAAATTAGATATGTCATCAAACCACATAAATGAGTTAATGTTCTTAGTTTCTAAATAATAAATCATTTTCATTAATATGTCGTTTATAGTATTAGATTAAAGAATATTTTTATTTTTGTAATATATTATCCTACAGCATACACTTTGTGCATAAGTTCCTCAAAGAATCCTTGTGATATCATATTTTCAACTCAAAACCTCCTTGACATGTCCAATCAAAAGTATAAAAAAAATGTAGCAATATATTTCGTAAAAGGTTGAGTTATTCCTTTCAAAAACAAATAGTGTAGTTTTTTCTTGTGACAAATGATCTTCATATGAGAAAGGATGTTTATGATATACATGACGTGATACAATTATACTTAGAAAATCAAAATTTTCAAATGTATTTTATCGTAAAGTCTTTTAACATTTTAGAGGAATCAAATCCAACTATTTAATATTTATTATTTCAATATTACTAATTTGACTACGTTTTAATCACAATCAAACTGTAATCTTTAACTGATATTTAACTATGAGATAGATTTAAACTATATTATCTTTTAGCAATCACTTTTTTTAAAAAAAAAAAACACAAACAAAATACCCATTAATACAAATTATAAACACCTCCTCATTCCAACCTGTGCAACACCGTATATTTTCTATAGGAATTCCGAAAATATTTGGAATCACAACACAAATCAACCTCTTAATGTTTTCATAAGAGAGAAGACAGAAAAAATATTTTTAAAAAATAAAAGTAAAATATTGATCTCCCAAATAAATTCATCTAATATCTAAGTACAAGTGTAAGTGTAAGAAGACCCACTCTAAACTTCAATTTTTAACAACTGTGTAGACTAAAAGTATATTGGGAATGAAGGAGGAAGTGCTATCATAAATGTAATACACTGAGATTCTATTTCTAGGTGGTAACTGAAGCGAATCGAAACTTTAACATGTGTCTCTAAAATAGCTCTAAAAATATAATTATACAGAATAGTTTAGAATAATACAAGGAGAAAAAAACACATCAAGGCAATGAAATTTTTGTCAATGTGCCTCTATCTGTTGCAGCCTTGATATGAAAAGATTGATACAAGGGAGAAGAAATACATCTCAAAATAAGAACTGTTTTCTAAGCAGTTCCAATGATGAAAAATAAGAACTTGACAATTTGAAACTTGCTTCAAATCACATGCATCACGTTCACCGAGTAGTGTTCTTATGACACATTGGGAAGTTTGTGAACATGTGAAATATTCCAAGTTCAAAATGATCTGAGAAAGAGGACTGGAAACAACAAATGAACTGACCTACACTGTATGATCTATCTGGTGATGCTCAAGATTGCGAAGAACAATTCGGGCGAAGATTTTTGCTTCAAGTGGGGCAGTTGCTGCTGCAGCCGCACCACGCAGAACTCGTGGTGCTCCCAAGTTCTGCATGAGGCTAGCATGGTGCGTGGCATGTCGTCCGCCAGGAATTGTAAACTGCAAAGATCAACACATAAAGAACAGAATTCAAACCGGATATGGATAACAAAAATTATGTTGCTACTTGCTATAGTTACCTGGAGAAGAGCAAATGCTGCACACGCCTTGAGTATAGAAGATGGATTTCGTAGCATAGTGATGAATCTTCCAATTTCAGCACCACTGAGAAACAATAAAAATAACATACGGTAGATGTTCCAACATGAGTAAATCATGGATAATCGATAAAAAAAAATGGTTAATGAAAGTAGAGCACAAGGTATATTATTTAACCCAAAAAAGAGAGAAGCACAAATACAGAAACAAAGAGAAGAGAAAATATAATGAAGCTGTCCAGGCTCTCTGCATCTGTGATATATTCTCTATGACACATGCATGAGAGAAGCTAGGAGCTGACAATGGCTTTGTATCATCAGAACACAATCCTCTCCCAAAACAAATCTAGCAGAATTATACAGCAAGAGGCACACAAGCAACAAAAATTTGACCCTGCTTTTACGTACTAAAACATGCTGAAAGTAGGATTTAAATAGCAAACACACATTAAACTCCATATAATAGTTATGTAAATACATATTTGTAACTCTTTCCAGTCTTAAGGTACATGAATTAGACATGTGGGAGAGTCGACCACTGTCCTTGAGTACAAAACGCACTCTGAAAGAAGAAAGAAACAAAACATAATTCGGGAAAGTTTTTTTATGACTTCAGTTAACATTCATTATACGTTCATGAAGCAAGCCTCAGGATATGATTGGTCATAATACATACTATACGCCCATACTAAATATATAAGTTGAATGAACCCGAATAAAGGAAGTGTTAAAAAACACTATTGCAGCATAAAATTTTGATGCCAAAACAATAATACCACAGAAGCATGCAGCTGACGATGGCTTTGTATCATCAGAAAACAAGATCCCATATGAGGTAGTAAGGTTCAACTGAAAAAGAGGTACTTTTACAACGTATAAGGAGGAAAAGGAAACCTGCATCTCAGATGTCCTGCTTCTTGAATACGTGCACCTTCAGTAACCTGTGCTAATGCTGCAGGAGCTGATGATGCAGCAGCAGCCGCAAATGCTTGTGGATCGGAGAACATAAGAACAAAAGCTTCAATGTGTTTCAAAGCCATCCTTCTAGCTCCATCCAAGCTTACACTCTTAGAAGAACTTTCAGATGGAGTGCCTACTAAAGCATATTCATCCATTCTGCAAAACATGTCATGACGCTCAAATAATATGCATAACATGGTCTCTTATACCAAGTTTCATGGCTAAAAAATTTATTTCACCACAGTAAAGTCATTTTCCTTTACTGCATATATTCAGTCTACTATAAATACAAACCAAATCAAATTTGAACAGAAGCAAAGTAAACCAAAGAACCACCACTTTCCAAATCATATCTCCGTAATGAAACCCATTTCTCAACAAACTTCAACAAATGGCATTAACCAAATAAAAACAAAAAAGACAAAAAAAAAGCATTCTTAGAAAAACAAACAGAAAGGGTAATAGGGACACAGCTGATTTAAATCAAATTAATTACCTCCCATCAAACATGTAAGCCAATGCCAATGCAGCCATGAAGCGTGCCATTTTTGACACTGATGAAGAACAGAGATCAACAAGTGCAGAGACTCCACCTTCCTCTACTATTCGTAAAGCATTACTAGCATTGAAAGCAAGATTCCATAGTGCTCCTGCAGCAGTTTCATGAACATCCTGAAAGTGGACAATGGCTTTGAATTTAATCAGGATTTTGCATATATAAATAGATAATGTTTAAAAAATAGACAAAAAGTATATAAATGCTTGTGGGATGATAAATACTTGTGGGCAGAGTATGAGGGAGCCAAAACTTACATATAAAGTATTCCCCAGAATAGGCTAAAATGCAAATAATGAAAGCTTAAAAACAAGAAGACCAGATATTCATATGAAACCCATAATGCATTAAATGATGCACAAGCCACCAAGGAGACTAAGGCTCTGATCAGCACAATGGTTGCACATATGACTTGTATAGTTATATTATAAATGTATGCAAGCAAAGTCATTAGTTATTACTCTTCTATCATCAGATTCATGTGGGAAAAAGCTTTAAATGGTGATAATTTCCAAAACTATAATTGTTCGAGATGTAATAAATCATTTGTGTATCTTTGCCTAACAACTTGCATATGGGGATTGTTGGATCATGAAAAGGTACCAGAAAATCCATGACCAATTAGTCTAGAGTTCAATAGTAAAATTTTGAATTTCAACACATGATAGGTAGGCCGGTGAATTATCCACACTTCATGCCCAAACGGCTCTTGCTTAAGAGGGAATTTAGTGGTGATAGAAAAATCATTCAGGTGTCCACTTAACAGCTTAATCCCTTTGGTATTGTTAGTTCATGACAACAATAACCAAAGCAAAAAAAATTATCATCTAACAAAGAAAAGTTACTATATTAATAAAAACAAAACAGCCCAGTAGCTAGCACCAAATATAAGTTGGTCTATTTAACCACCTGCTTAACCCAGATAACGTGCTGTGCAATATTAATTAATATGAAAAACTATTGATAAAATCCTAAGAAAGAAAAAGGCTTATGGAACCCCACAATATAAGTGCAAACAGCCCTCTAAAGCAACTTAAAGACTAAAATAATAACAAGACCAACAATGACCCAGTTGAGCCGCCAAAATGGGATGCTTTTTTGGCATTATTATGTATTTGTCTAGCATTGATAAATAAACATATATATAAATGTCAAACATAAAGGGAATAAGTTACCTCTGCTTCAGACCGTGCAAGTGCAATCAGTGGTGCAACACCTCCTTCTCTTCCAATGGCAACACTAACCAAACAAAAAACATTAATGAATATAAGCATAATTTAGTACAGAAAGATAATGAAATTATATAATGACGACTTCTACCAAATTCAAATCCATATATTAGTCAAAGAAAATAGACAAAATGTTAAAAATCTTACATTACAAGTAAAAATGTTTTAGAAGACATCCACAATGATTAAAACCATAAAATCATTTATTTTATTAGTGAAAACTGACAACTATATGGACCAGAACAGGTCTTCTAATTCATTTTCTGTTTTTGACAAAAGTCAATAGGAAACTATATGTGATGCAGTTAAAAGGATGAAAAGCAAATCATGTGATGAATACCAAGTATATATACACTATGGACGACTGAATGGATATAATGAATACACAAGCTACGAACTAATATTTAGACAGTGAACCTGACCACCAGAAAAAGTACATAGGTTAATTACATACAATAATCCATCAAGTTGGAGCATATATAATTAACTTATTTGAGAACCTCACACGAGATTTGATGAAGATATCAATAATTGATCATTAGATTGACCAATCTAGCAGTGTGGTGATATATCCTGATAGGATATATTCCTTAATGAATAGATAGTTAACATCAATATCTTTGGTCCTTTCACTAAACACCAGCTTCGAAGCAATATCTAAAGCCACTTAATTGTCACATAATTATCATTTACATAATCTGCCCAAATCAAAGCTTCTTCACTTAGTTTCTAAATTTTCCAGGTAAAAGATTGCCACCAATGAATACACAATACACAGATGTTGATCATCTATGTAGGAAAAACTACTTGATCAGAATTTGAGTGTCAAACAATATGCAGATACCCTTACTCCCCTATCTTCACAAATTAGGTTTTTCCCAATTGGTTCTTTAATATAATTGAGGATACAAAGCATTGTATCAGAATGACCTTCACAATGGGAATTCAAGAACTGAGAAAACCACAGGATGTGTTTGGATGGATAATAATGGGGAAGTTTAGTTTCCAAACCAATCTTTTGTACCAACTTGGACCTAATAATAATGGCTCCTCCTAATCTGGTTTTAGTGCAACCTATAATAAAGCCATAAAGTATCTTAAGATATGTTGAAATACCATTGTCATGTCACCTTGATGCTACTTAACCACCTTGTTTCAATCCCATGAGATGTTCTCCAGATGTTCAATCTCACACTCTTGAGATGTCTAGTCCTTGGCATGAAGGGTATATTAGAGAACATTCACAAATATCAAGTCCTCCAACATGAAAAATATGGTGAAGATCTTACATAGACGAGATATGATCAAATTATATATAAGTGGAACAAAACCTCACCTTATAAGCTGGTTTTGTAAAGTTGAATTAGACCCAAATCCACTTTCTAATAAATATATATTTCATATCAAATCAAAGGTTGTCAAAATCAAGATCCTACCTAAGTTCAAGAAGTAAAAATTGTAAATCATGAGTTCTGGTATTATTAATATCTTTCGTTTAACATATTTATCTTCTAGTTATTGTATCATTAATATCTTGTAGTCATTATATTATTAATATCTTAGTTAACATACTTGTCTTGTAGTTATTGTATTATCAATATGTTAATTTAATACATAATAATGATTATAAAGGAAAAAAAAATAAGTGGGGGGCCCAAGATCAGATCCTGTATTCCAAAGGCCTAGAGCATGTCCAATGTGAGTTTTAGAAACAACCAAAACAAAGGGTTAATATGATCCGCACAACCCAAACTGATCTAAGAAAGAGGGTTAGAAACCAACCAAAACACAAGACTCAAAAGAAAACAACTATAGTGAGAAAAAGGCTGGAAATGGAGGGATAGAAAAATAAAAAAAAAGGGAGGTGTCGAACTCAACACAAAGAATGAGGAGAAAGTTACTTTGCTGCTGTGAGGGAAAGTAAAGGTGTCCCAAATTAGACGGCTGAGTGGGAGAAGAGAAGTTATGCTTAAAGAGAGAGCTTATTAGGGCCAAAACCCCCAAAAATGGGGTTTCTCTACACTAGGCTGCCCAACCCACAGAGCTCCGGATTTTCAACACGCACAAACATGACAATCTCACAAGCAAGTGAATTTACCTGCTGATCCTGGTACAATCCCACACTGAATCGATCGTTGATACCATCCAAAATTGTGACAATGTTCATACTTGTGACGCCTTTTGCCCGGCTTGCCATGGCGATTGCGATCATGATGAGATACCATAGATTATCTCAACCTTTTTATAGCTGCTTTTCATCTATTTCTTTTGTTTTTGTTGAATATAGGGAAAAACTGTATAGGGTTAATTTCCCTTATGTATTTACCACACATAGGGCAGTGTATTTATAATAAAGAAAGGTACTCCTCAAAAGAGTAACAGAATACAAATAGAGTAAATAAAAAGATATTATTTGATATTGTGATTAACAATATCTAACAATATCTCAACAATATCAAACAATATCAACTA